CCCAGCCGCTCCCGGGGGTTGGGGGCCAGCATGTCGCGCAGCAGCTCGCAGAGGTCCTCGGGAAGGGCCTTCTTGCTCCGCAGCGGGATCTGCAGCTTCAGGTTGGGATTCTCCAGCAGCGCCTCGCCGAGGGGGATGAGCTCCTGGCCTTGGCACACGTACGTCCCTGCGCACGGAAAGGGGTTACACATGGAGAGCAGGAGGCTGCACCAAGCCACGGCTGCTCCTCCGGGACCATTTCCAGAGAAATTACCTGGGAAAGGAGCTCCCTGCTCCCTCTTACGCCACCGGGTCCCAAGGGGAAGCACAGGAGCGGCTCGGGAGAGTTAAAGCACAGCCCCTGTTTGCTCAGTTGGCCAAACACTCCTCCATTAAAACGACAGCACAGGCCGTCCACCCTCAGCCGACCGCTGAGGGAGGGAAGTGTAAATTTGCTCCTGGTAATCTAAATAATCCCACCGCTCGCTGGAAATGATTAACCGGCTTCCAAAGGAGCAGCTTTGCGGCCCCCAACAAACGTTTCGGCGGCGGCGGCCTCCGCGCGCGGACAAGGTCGGTCCTTATCGCCCGGCGGCGGCAGCTGCTTTGTTGGAGCCTCCTCGGGTTCCGCCTGCGCTGCAGGACCCAAAACATTTATCAGTGCTTGGCACTTCGGAGAGAAATAAATAACAGGGCCCAAACGGAACCGACTTGAAAACGACAGGGAAAAAAAAAAAAGCACGATAAAAGCAGAGCGATTCCGTGCTGCTTCCCAGGGCTGCTGCGGAGCGATTCCTTTTAAGTTAAGGATTTGAGCGTTTAGCAGACAGGTACATTATGATCTCGGAGGCTGGGAGATGCCTTCAATTATTATGCTAATGTGCACAACTGGCAGGCTCTGCTCTCGGGATGGATTTTGTGCTGCAATATGTGTTTCTGCAACCATTTAGCTCTGTGTTTCACGTGTGCTTTTACACAGGGGATGTGGGAGGAGGACGAGTCGCCCCCACGAGATCCTGCGTCTCCGAGCAGGGGGGGAAACGAAGCTCATCCCAACACCCAAGCTGGGATTTGGGCTCCTTGGAGCCTCCTTTCAACGCCCTGAGCGATCCCATCCCTTGGATGTGCCGAGTCAGCGACACCCACGAACTCAGCAGCCCATGCTCAGGTTTGGGGTTTAAGGAAACACTCCTGAGCAAATGGGGCACAGATAAAAAGAGGCCAAGTCTTGCAGGGAGATCGTAGCTGCCACCAGACGCGTCACCAGCAGCTGCCTGAGTTCTCTGGTTGCAAATTCTTAGTGTTGCTAAGGGCCATTCCCATTTTTGCAGAGCATTCCTAGGGGTAAGGAAGTCTGAGAGAAAAGAAGCCAGCAGCGATCTTGTCTCAGCCTTTCAACCTTACAGCAATATTTTGAATGGAACCTTCCAAACAAAGATATCACTTATGAGTACAGAAGGGTTTCCCTGACTTACTGATACAGCCTGAACACCTGGAATCCTGCATAAAAAGCAACCAAATAAGGAGATTGTTCTACAGTTCCCTAAAAAAAAGAGACTTAGGAGAGCAGAAAGCAACGTGTGTGCAAATTCCTGGAGAAAACCACATCCCACAACAGGCTAAAAAATTCTAACGAAGCCCGAGGGAAGAAGAGGGAAGAGAATATTCCCAGCCAACAGGAGAGCTCGTATCCTCACCGAGCAATTCCTTCTCCGTGTCCCCGTCCCGGAAGGTGATCCTCTCCGCCATGGCCCAGAAAATGACGCCGAGGGCGAATATATCGGCCTTGGCAGTGTAGTGGCCCTCCCACACCTCCGGGGCCATGTAGAAGTTGGAGCCGCAGGCGGAGGAGAAGCGGTGCTGGTTCACGTTGCCCTTGCCCTGGCACACCTTGCTGAGGCCAAAATCCGCCACCTGCAACACAGAGAACCCCACATCAGGGACTTGGTGAACACCAAGCTCCCGGAACAGCGCTCGGAATTCCCGTTATCGCTCCGTTCCCCATTTGTTTCCTGCTGTTTGCTCGTCCGGGGATGCACAAAACAGATCCCTGATTGCTGGCGTCCTGCAAAGCGCAGTCTGATTAAATCCATTTGGGCATAAATGTCCCTCAAACAACACAAAACATAAATGTCCCGTCGGAGACGGGAGCAGTGGTTTTCACTGCTCCACCGCGGGCGCACGGAGTCTCCCACATTCCCTTCTTAGCCAGGGCCATCAAGATGACGCCGATTTAAGTGTCTCTCAGTCTCTTAAGTGTCCCCAGGTCAAAGCACAAACTCTCAAGACGTGACTTACCTGCAGTGTGCAGAGCCCCTGCTCTACATGCAGCTCCTGGAAGTCTGGGAGCAAAGTGACTCCCGGCTTCGGAGCTGCTTCCCGGAGAGCCCCGGCAGACTTGCAGTCGGGATACAAGGAATGTGGTTAATGGGCTGTCGCTGCCATGGGTTGTTAACGGGCAGGACGACGCTCCGCACGTGCTTGAGGCGGCAATATTGGGAGTGGGAGCAGGTGGAGCAGGGCAGCGTGTTCCCAGATTTAGGGGAAGGGAGGTTATTGCTTGCAACCTCCTTGCTTATCCGGCAGGAGTCGGAGAGCCCTGACCAGGATGAGCGACGTGAACGAAGGATTTTCAATAACGCGTCACCGCGACCCCTTCCCACCCAACGCTCCTAAAAACCCCAAACCCACAACCGCCCCACAACCTTCCCGCAAGCTCTGTGCTCCGGGATACGCCGCATCCTGACGCTCCCAAAGCCCGCAGGGCCGCGCGGAGAGCCCTGACCAGGATGAGCGACGTGAACGAAGGATTTTCAATAACGCGTCACCGTGACCCCTTCCCACACAACGCTCCTAAAAACCCCAAACCCACAACCGCCCCACAACCTTCCCGCAAGCTCTGTGCTCCGGGATACGCCGCATCCTGACGCTCCCAAAGCCCGCAGGGCCGCGGTGCGGTGGGTGCCTGCCGATTGAAGCTTCCGTGGAGGCGGGCGTCGGGGCCGCGCGCCAGCAGGTACTCGTTCATGGTGCCGCCGTCGCAGAACTCCATGACGAACCAGAGCGCCGAGGCGGCCGCGGGCTCCGCGCAGCG